TATCTCACGCGATGTGTTTCAAAATTGTTTAAAAGGTGACATTGGCAGGGGAAGAATGAACACTTTTTGTATTTATTGTTTTGTGTATGAAGCTATTGTTATTGTTTGTTTTTTTACTTAGCTGGTATGTCAGAAGATAGCGACTACACCAGTGATATCAATGCTCCAATACATCTATATAATAGTCCTCATCATAACGTTAGTGTGCATCAAATTGATGCGCGTTTCCCACATATCGAAGAATATCACGATCGGAGTCAACTTCCAGATCCAATGTATTATGATTATCAAAGAGAACCTGAGGTTAGTTTTATTTATTATTTTTTTTTATATTTTTTTGAAAGTCTGGGGATGTTTTATTTTGGTGAGGTTGAAACATCACAGCTTGTTTTCTGGTAACAGCTGAATTCATTGTGTGTCTTGGCCTGCAGTTCTTTCTAGAAAACACGTACACCTTGCTTTTCTAAACCATCGATGGAAAATAAAAAAATATGGATTTAGCAGTATTATTGTCACCACAATATTGTTCCAAGCAGCAACATTGCCAGCTGAGTTGCTGAATGGTTTGCAATGTGTGTCTTGAGATTGTTACATGATCAGAATTGGTTAGTTTTATGAGGGTGTGCCTTGTGACACATACCGGACACACCATACTGTATCAGTACATAAACTTTGTTTGGATAACAAATACAAATTTATATGAATGAAAGGTTGGTTTGACCTGAAATGTTCTATTTATGTATTCATCTCCAAGCATGTGTAGGAAACTTGTCAGCAACTTGGCTGGCAGTTTTTGCTGTTGTGGTGTTTGGAACAATATGGCATTGAAACTTTATCCTTGAAAATTAGTATTATCTGTTCCTCATTCAGTAGTTCTCATTATATTTTGTTTGACCAAATATAAAATTAGGATATGCAACTTTTATGCCCTGCATGGTGATGTGTAACATATAAGGGATTTATACACTTTGCAAATTTTCAACGTCACTGTGAAAAAACAATTTAAGATAAACATTAACCATTCTTTCTCAGACTTGCTAAACCATTACTTCTGGAAATGTACATATATCCTGTAATTTTGCAATTATCTTCAAATTTGGCTCTTGTTGTAAACCATTATCTGGTAAATTCATGTTTTAACTTGTCAATCCCCAAGGCTTGTTCATTTGCTGGTTAATGACGCATAATGTCCACAAGCTTGTAATTTCAGTTTTCTCAGTAACTTTCCTTATATGCTATACGCTGCTAGAAATTTGATAATATGGAATATAAATTTCTGAGAACAAATATTGCATATGAAAGTAAATACTTGCTGTTGTGTATACTTGGAGGATTGTTGGTGCTTATATCACTACTAAATATAAGCAGAATGGTGGATAAATTTCAAATTTGACAATGTACATGAATAAAAATATGGTGTGTATCCCAAAAATCATAGAGTATATTGATATGATTGTACAAAACCACTTTGTTATCATTTAAGAAGTGTGCACTTTTCTCAATAAATTAAAACTTTTTCCATAGATGTATGATGAGTATGGGGAGGACTATTATTCTGAATATCCCGACCGAATGTATGGAGATTATGACCCTGAATATGATAGATACGAAAGAGACTATTCAGATCGAGAGTATCCAGATCAAGAGTTTCCGGGTAGGGATTATACAGATTATGCTGATCCACGTGATTATCCTGAAGGCACTGATCTGCGAGATTTTCCAGAAGGCACTGACCCACGAGATTTTCCAGAAGGCATTGATCCACGTGATTTTCCAGAAGGCACTGATCCACGTGATTTTCCAGAAGGTTCTGATCCACGAGATTTTCCAGAAGACAGGTATGACAATGATTATCCGGAAGACTACCCACGAGAGGGCTACCCTCGTGATGGAGATTATCGACCAGAAGAAGACTACTACAGTGATAGGGACTATCCATCACCCCCTCGACGGCGAGATGATTTTTCCGACTCACCACGTCATAGTTTGTATAATTCACCAAAACATAGTTTTCAGGAGCAATTTTTAGATTCTCCAAGAACTGGTCGACGAAGTTCTCGGAGAAATAGTCGTCAAGAAGATTATTTGTATGATTCTCCTCGAGGTAGTCGTACCAGCTCTCCTCTCCCGCACAGAGGTGAATTTTTAGACTCTCCAAGAGGAAGCAGACATAGCTCTCCACGTTCATTTCATCGAGACGACTATGGCCTACTAAGAGAGGGCTCCCTCCAAAGTGATATTGATCTGGAGCCAATTAATTTCAGAAAAATTGGACCTGGATCCAGTAGTGGTACTGTTGGTAGCAGACAGTCATTGCTTGCTGTTGAAGGAGGACATCTTGGAAGTGGACATTCATTACCGACTGACAGGTATATATTATGTCAAAGTATAAAATCATTTCTTGTTGTGTAAAAGGTAGTCATTTCTGTCATAAATTGAATGTATAATAATGTATGATAATGCAAGAAAAAAATCTTGGTAATTTTTTTAGATTTAAGGAAGTATTGTTTGAGTTGTGCATCTCCATACACACAGTTCAGTATTGCATGAATGTTATTTCCATTACAAGTGAAAGATTTTAAGCCATTTAATTTTGTGATTTAATCGTCGCTGTCAATGCAAAGCTGCTTAGAAGATTGTACATGATTAGTCATTTAACTAATCAACAGGTTATTTGGACCTATCAAATTCTGCCATGTATGCATATTCTTCAACTCAACTGAAAAATTTGGCTGCATCATGCTAAATTGTTTCTGAAATTAATTGCAATACTAGTATTTTTATCTGTCTGTGCAGTAAATGATAATTAATGATGCGTGGATAAGACTGATATGCTCTCATCCATGAAGATAAAGGTCTGTCTTAATTAGATTAATGTGTTACTGGTTCTGCTTGGTATCTTCCTATCAGCTATCTTATTCATGAATATTCTAACCATGTGTCAGTGTATTCAGCAATCACAATGTATCTTGAGAAAATTTGTTGCAAATGTTTTTTTCTTATATTGTTTGTCATATATAGCGCCCTCTAGAGGGCATACAAAGACAGTTGATTACATACAAAGAGGCCACTCCATATAATTGGTATTTAAAGAAGACGCTGTCAATCCTTAGGGTGCTTCATAGAATCATGAGACCCCATTGTCTGAAATGTTAGCTCCGTTGTCAACTTTTTCAAGGGGAGCTTATCATATTACTTCTTGAAAACTACAAATCTGATTGCTTTGATACTTGGTGTATATGTATCTTAGGTGGACCTCTCTTTGTTCATTTCATGATGATATCTTCAATTCTCTGATTTTGATGAATATTTTTGGTAAAAAGTAATATTTTCGAAAACCGCAAGTCTGATTGCTTTGATATTATATATAGGTTCTTCAGGTGGATCTCTCCCAGATTTGTTCATTTCGTGATAAAATCTTCAATTGTCTAATTTAAATGTGCATTGCTAACAGTGGAGCTATCTTAGCCAAGAGACTGCTAACCAACAACTTCAATTACATAAAAGATAAGCTTGTGTTATTCTCATGAGTTGTGAAAATGTCAGATAAAATTATATTAATAATGAATGATTTGAAGAATATGCAAACTTAGTTGTTGTTATCAAACAGATATCTGTATAATTGCAGAGAGATAAAAACTACAATTTGAGTTCTGTTAATATCTGGTTTTCATCACTCTTATCCATTTATCCAGTCAGGAAAAAAAGACGTTTAATGATTGTATATTTTTCAGCCCAAAGAGCAGTAGATTAGGATCATCACTAGACATGAGTCGACAGAGTACAATAGAAGATATGAGATTGGATCCCCCTGATTTGGATGATTTGGATGACGATGACTACCTTCCAGAAGACACTCAACCATCTCCTGCTAAAGTCAGGTGGATCAGCGCATTCAATAAAGTTCGCATGCATTTACATGAGGTAGGAGCTACATTTCTTGTTTCTGGTTGTTCAGTTTGTGGTACCGTTTTGGTAGTTGAATGGGTTGCTGGGTTGCTGTTGAGTAACGTCATACTGTATGTTGATGTTGGTGCGTGTGGAATGAGAGGTTTATTGTAGTGTGTCACAGTTGTTGATGAGACAACTCCCCCCTTTCATTTGAGTCTAAGAATCTCACTTTACAAGTTTTTACAATGCAATAATAGCGTCCAAGCTGTAGGTGAATTGCATTCTGGGTGGGTCAGTACTGACAGTTCTATTGCAGAGTCATATGCATGTGTAGCTAGCGCAGAACAAAAGAAGTCCTGCAGCAGATCACAACAAACAAGGTACGTCCAAGTTACATTTACTTGTAAAAAAATTTATCACAATTGATTAGAATTTGTTTAATATTCCACTGTAGATATAGACTGTACCATGTTTAGCATTGAATTGAAAAGATTTTGGGGTAAAATATACATTTTGATGACTGATGAATATCATAGTATGATTTGCTTATCCTTCTTTGTTTCTTGTTGCTTTATTGCCACTCAGGCATGTTTGCAATAAAAATCAAGTGTTTATAAAATATAATTATTTTACAACAGCAATGTGACAATACATCAAACAAGATGTGCTTGAGTTATTTCAAAATGATAAACAAAGCGTAGATGCAAAAAGACTCATGTCAAAATCATCAGCAAAGTAAAGTGGATTCATTCTTGATCAGAACATCTTTCTATGCATAGAGGTCAGGAAAACATGTTGTTTATAAAGCATTGGTCGAAAAACAACACGTTACTTAGTCATCATTGTACCATCATACCGGAGTGAGGGCACATTTGTATCATGTGTAATTGTCCCTTCAGTAACGCTTTGTAACACCAACAAATGACTTGTGTCATTCATTTCAGGGTAACTCTACCAAATATACATATTCAAATAGTTTGTTACACATGTCTTGTGTTCAGTTTCCATTGATATGACTCTATAAACTAGGTTGGCTTTAATGTTATTAACGATTAAACACTTATTTTATTTTATGAATTTTTAATCATTAAGCAATTCATGCAATGATATTGTCTCGGGAGTGGTTTTTTGTAATACTGCCATCTAGAGTTGATTTTGTAAATGTATTCATTTTTATGTTTAATAGTGCACTACTATTGCAACGTAAAATAAATATTGCATTTGTGGCTTTATATGTTAAGTAGGATTATGTGAAACATCTGTATTATAGTATATCACAGATGGTTCTGGTAATATAGGAAAACAATAACTAATCGCAGTCTATGGCACCTGTACTTAAATATACACATAATTATTTTACTGCAGACCGGACAATATTTATAGAAATTTTAATCAAAACAAATTTGTTATTCCATTGTCTGTCCAGATATTAACTGTTAGGATTTGGTTTCGCATGAAGTCTTAAATTGCCAAAATTGATATGAATTCTAATATTTGATGTCAATTTAGAATTTATATGAATTCTAAAATTGATATGAAATCTGAAAATACTGGGAGCAATGCTATTAAAAATGATCATTGTGGGTTACTAAGACTGAATAGTATGGTTGTTCTTTTTTTACCGTCTTTAATGAATACATTATATAGACATGTGAGAGCTTATGAATACATATACAATACCTAGTAAAACTTGTAATTTGAAGTATTCAAATCAGCTGTGGAGACATATAAAACCAATGAGTGAATTTCTAATGGAAATTACTTGGCCACTGATGAAATTATTTGGCCACTGTCGCTTAGCTTAACTGTGTAGGTGTGAAGTTCTTTGAACGCTAGCAACAAAGTGTCTTATCCATCTTTTGTATCACAACATTTTATTCACTTTAAAAGCTCTGATTCACTATTTAAAATAGATTTGATGAAGAATTGATACTATTTAATGTGTATCTAAGCAAAGCAAACAACTTCTGCCCGTAGATTTTGAATGTACAACATGGGATGCATTGGATGCAAACATATTGTCCAGGGTTTATGTTGAAAGCTGACGCAGCAGCTGCCTGAAAATCTGAATGTCCAATATTGATTTTATTCAATTAAAAGCAACTCACATTCCCATGTTT